AAAGGATTCAATTATATTTTTCATTCATGCAAAAATTGTATGTCATCCTTATAAAGAAACCCGAATTTCACGTTAATATCTTAATTGAAACTTTTTTGCTAATTAATGAAAAAACGAATGTCTGCAATGTAAAAATTACGAGATAACTTTGGTTCTTCTTTACGCGAAAACAATACTGGAATATTTTTAATTGCCGAACAAAACCCCAAGCGTATTAAAATCCATTTAATACCTGTATTTCCATCTGCTGGACAAAAAATGTATAGTGAGAGAGGGAAGAGCACTAAATGAAAAGTTTTTATGATGCAAATTTCCTATTGGGACCTGCAGCAAACTCCTCCCGGCTCTGTTTATTATACTGTCTTCGAGTTAGTGCTTTCGAACGACTACTAAAATTCTCATAACTGACTTATAGATTAGATTACCACCTAGACCTACCGGGCATTATTTACCCTTCAAGCCGTTAAAATAAAATCAGTTTTCGCATTCCGAGTGTTAAAGTTTTATTTACTATTAAATTAGAAACTTTAATGATAACTTAAATATTATAATATTTTTTAACTTATTACTATTACATTAATTATCTTATCAATTATAGGAATTGGTAATAATATGTTAGAATTTTAAGAAGTTTCGAAGTCCAAACTTTATATTGTATAGTTCATGCAAGAATTTGTTATCATAAAATTTTAAATATATAGTGGGATCTTCATTCTCGATTAACTTATTTCTATGGGAAAATGGTTTCGGTTTTCGAACAACATTTAAGAATGAATTAAATTCGACAACCGAAGTTCCAATATAAATCTCAAACAAACTCCTCAAATTCCGAATCAAATGTTACTTATTATCATGAATTTTGATGGTAAATTGGTTTCGCTTTTCGAATAGCATTTAAGAATGATTCCGTATCAAATGTTACCTATTATCATAATTTTTTATGGAAAATTGGTTTCGGTTTTCGATCAGCATTAAGAATGACGCAGACTACTCGGTTTCCGAAAACAATTTTACCTACTAGCTTGATTTTGTATAGGAATATGGTTTCGGTTTTCGAACAGTATTAGGAATTAATTACATTCGACAAACGAGTTCTAGTGCAAATTAATAAAGCATAAATATTATTATTATTTAGTACATAGAATAGAATTTAGCCATCCATTATTATATGAAATAGTTAATAGTTAGATTAAGTATTTGTAATAGATATTCTATGAAATAACTAGTTATTTCCTAAAACAATGGATGTATTACCGCTAAAGCGTGTGGTAATAGATACTTGTGAACAAATTAAAACTTTGTAGAGGAAATTATCGAATACACTAAAATTGTTGAAAACTTGATGTATGAGGTACACAAATGTGTTGCAAGTTCCTTCAATAATAGCTTAGTTAACAGCGACTGTAGCAATTGAAACCATTATAAAAACCATACCTTTAAAACTTAATAGAAATGTACATTGGGATTATTATGTAACTTTGGTCATTTTCCACAAAATCTACTTGAAATCAACGACTAAACTCGAACAAACCTTTTCAAGATTTGATCATAACATGCATTGCACGATATTATTATGTAACTACAATATTTAACCACGAGATAATGTACTTAAAGTTATAGATTTAAATAAATACTGCTTAAAATACCGGAGCAAAATCTTAATACCGATATTCGGTATTCAAAATTTTTTAATAAAGGGTGTCCCAAAATGTTGTTAATATATTCATTTTTTAATAAAACTTTTTTTTGATAATCTATACAATTTTTGCTTTACTAGAAAGTAGAAATACCATACATAATATATGACAAATCACCCCACTTCCCGTGCAATGGCAGCACATGTTCACTCTTTTGATGAAATATTTCATAACATGTTGACATAATTTTTGGGAAATTTCTACAATGTTGTATCAAATTTCATCTTTGAGGTCCTCAATGGTTTGTGCTTTATTGATGTACTTTTTCGAAGAAGTAAGGTCCAATCAATACCCCAGCTTTACGTCATGCGAACAATTCCATAAAATGGTCAACATTTTTAAGTGTTTTTTGTTTTAATTTCTACGCGTTGTTCGATGTTTACTAATTATAGCATTTAAAAATCTTAATCTGGTTTTACCGCTAAAAAGTGGCGGCACATTTAAATTTCAGTTCTTTTTGAGATACCCTTTATACAAAACAAAAACAATTGTTCTTCATATGTATATAAATACATAAAGTATATGATAGGATATAACAAAAGTTAAATTGTTATAAGTATAATAAAAAAATTAAGTCTTTTGTACAGCAAACATATATGATAGGAATTAAATAATGAATTGGTTAAAGTGACTAATAAATTCTATAAATATAAGAAAATTTAATTTTGATGTACAATTTATAAAGCAAGTAACAAATAAATATTAATTAATTAATTAATGTTATCTCACAGAAATAACTGATAATTTCATCATTATGCGAGGTTTGAATTTAATATTATATGTTAATAGTTAATATGTTAATTCCAAAAACCGGTTTTCAATAACAAAATCTCAATATTGTATGAACTAAGTACCATATAAACAGAAAATCTACGAATTTCGAACTTAACAGATTATTTCAATCTGCATTAAACGTATTTATATAAATAATTTTGTTGTACACATAGTAAAGGTCAGGCTTTGCAGTGATGAAGCGTGGAATAATTGTATGCGTGCCACTCGTAAAGCATTTGCATATCGCGTATAAATTGCGAGAGGAAAGGAAATATATGTAAAAAGCTGGAAAGACCACCTCCGAAAAAAAAAATACTTGTATATAAATAAAGTGGACGGAAAAAAATAATTATAAAAAAAGAACATGGACTAATACAGGAATGAGGGCGTAATCTAATGTGGACTTTAAATAACATTCGTGCGCTTGTATTCAGTACGTTTTTATGCACATGCATTTTATATATTCCGCGCTCGTTTTGTAACGTTGGTAACAGCGTACATTGTGTAAATGTGACTAGCAGTTAGTTTTAATTCAATTACTAATGGAACATGGAAAATACAATTAACCTTAGCGTGAACCACTTTCGTGTTATGCGAAATTACATCAAAGCAAATTTATCTTTTGGTTCAAAAATATATTTTTTTGCACACCCCATTATGTCAAGTATTGAGTGGATGTGAGGCTCACATTGATGAAATGCGAACATGAAGGATTGGTTAAATTAATGGCAAAACAATTCTGCTACCTTTTTTCCGGACTTTAAATGAATCACTATTTATAATATTTATACATCAGCACAACATTAAACATTCGAAAATTAATTGCGTCCATTCTCTGTATGTATGTGATTGCGTTGACTATTAAATTTATCAAAGCGTAAATTCGCGTTTCCCTGCGCTTCTGTTTTATATAATTTACTCTGGCTATGGCACTATGATATGTATGTATATATTTTTTTTTGCAAATAATTTAAAATATGTTACGCCGCTCCATTCATACAGTTTTTACTTTTATTTCATACGCAAAACGAAACTTTGAAATAAAAATATGCACGCTGCGAGCAATTACGTGTAAATTATTCGAATATTGCACAATTTGCATAGAATGTAACTTTTTACGGATAACTCTATGAATAAAAAAATATCCCAGGTATGAACATAGCTCTATAAAATCAAATTAGTGGCTAGACTATGTATGAACATATTTTTTGATTAATAATTAATAAAAAGGTAAACTGATAAATTATTTCTAATATTTATTAATTTACATTTTTTTTTTTCAACTGTGTTTTTTTTCAATTATATGAATATTATTTTCATATTGAAACATTAATCGGTAAATATTGTAGTTTTTTTTTTTAAATTTGAATATTTAATTTTTTTTCAGAAAAATTATCATAATGATAACTATCCACCGGGAAAGATTGTCAACCGCGATCTTAAATGTACTCAATGTTCACATTGATGAATAAAATTATACGACATAAAAAAATCAGAATTTTTGAAATAATGGAAATCATATTTTTTAATCGAAAAGTTTGATGTAACGTATTAGTAACTCATTATTAATAATAAATGAATATGTAATTTACTTAATAATTTTAAGTAAAAGAAATAAAAATGAAATTCAATTTCTTTGATGTATTTTAACTTGATGTATTTGAGGAAATTCTCTTTAGTTGAAAAATGGATTATGATCTAAAGACAATTCTTTTGGAAAGCGGAAGAAGGACGATGGGGAAATGAATAAAATGAGTTTACAAGAAGGGCGAGTGAGATAATGATGAACTGCAAAAGTTCGAATAAAGTATAAGTAGATTCAGGAAAGGACATACTTTGATGGTTATTATATTCCCCATAGGAAATAGCCATAATTCAATATTGCTGCACTCATTTATCTTCTCCCCGGCATAATCCATAAGTAAGTTAAAATACATGTTATTTGGCTTCATCTTTCAAATAATGAAAATATCATATTTATTGGATTAAACTGTATAAACTTTATATTAAATTAATTAATATAAAGTTTATATTGTTTCACTTTGATAACAAAGTAATTATTGTGTTTGAAAAATAATGAAAAATATGAATGTGGATTCACTATAGAAAGGTAGGAAAATTTCAAAACTAAGAAAATATCAATTGAGAAAAGTGTAAACAAATTCTAAAAAGTATGTGCACAAATAATTTTGGATATTTTTTTTCTTGAAAATAAAAACAGACATTACAAAAAGGGTCTTCGATTAGTAAGGTTTCAAACAGTGATGATTTAAAAAAATTACTAAATTCAATGCTGAGAATAATGGTCAAGCGATTTTTATGATGCACCCAATAAATTTAAAACGTATTTTTCTTAATACTATATTTTTGCGCAGGTAATCCTTAAAACCCAAGTCATTTAGTATAAATACTTGCTCAAAAATTTCAAAGGCATTAGTTCTTCAATCGTCTTCAGTACGACAACATCACTTTTGTGAAATACCTACTATTTTCTTCTTTGCATTTTTAACTTATTTTAACTTAAACAAGATGTGTAAAGATATTATAGAATTGGAAAGAGCCATGGATTTTTACTTATCATTTGAGGACAACGCAGAGCTTATTGCGATTGAAGAATCCATGAACAAGACCAACGAAGAAATCAAAAAGTTGAGTATACTTCAGGATGACTATGACGAGGATGATAGCAATGAAAACAAGAATGAAGACGATAGAAGAAGTGTGTGTGTGGGGAATATTACTCATGGTACTACTTCGTCGATGCTGGAAGCGTTTTTCAGCAAGTGCGGAAGCATCAAACGTGTTACCATTGTCCTGAACAAAATTACAGGAAAACCTAAAGGGTTTGCGTATATTGAATTTGAACTATCATCGTCAGTGGAGATGGCCCTGAAAATGAATGGTTATAAGCTGAGATCCATGACGCTTCAGGTGATGTCCAAGATGCCCAACAAACCTAGATTGATAACCACCAATCGTCCAACTCTGGTTTCAGCAATTTTAGGAAATAGGCAAATGTCTCAAGTTGATTCGATGAGAATATCCGAACATATCAAAAGTATTTGTTCAGGAAGTAACGTTGCTAGAAAAATTGCTGGAGCATTGAAGACTAAATATTCGGTGAAACGTCTAGGTGTCAAGAACTGTTTGTTTTAATGCGAAGAAATTCCGATAATTAATGAAAGTTTTGTAAAAAGTAGTTAGGATAATTGACAATATTTTTGTACCTTCTTTGTGATACACGTAAAATCTAAATAAATAATAAAATATACGATTTTTTATAAAAATACTTTATTTAAAACACTAAATGTAAGAAATCTTGAAGTATTGTTGTATAATATAAGTATAAAATATGTAAAAAAAGCTGCATATTTGATTTAATTGATATTTGAAAAGATTTACTCAAATTTATAATTATATAATCTAATTATAACCAAAACGAAAAATAATTATTTAACAATTATAATTCGATTTATTATATTAAAAATCGGATAATAATTTTAAGGATTAGGATTGTCTAGGACTATTTTTTTTTGTATTATTGTATACATTCGTATACAGAATAAAAGCTTGCAATATTTCAAGTTGCATCGTATTGCAGGGCTAGCATTTTTTGAAGCGGATTTAAACTACAATTTAAATCTAGCTTATATGGCTTGATTCAAAAAGCAATACATGGAAAAAGGAAATCGGCAGCGTTCGGACAATAAAAAAGGATTTACGTAATGCGGTTAATATTATGGCCAATGAGTTATTTTCGTTAGGATTTAGTAGGTTCTCTGCTTTGGATGCCGTTGTTGTTGTTGCATTTTTATTTGTCTTTCTATTTAATCGTCCTGTTTTCGAATACGCATAGCACTCCAGTTGGTACAGTGAATTTAGTGTAATAGCTATTTGTAACGTGGCATATTTCATCCACTGCACGTTGTGTGTGTTTTTTTCAGTGTTCGGATTATGAAGTTTCCTCTGTATATGTGTACGTATTTATTTGGGAGCATCATAAATCCTCACCCTCGCAGCGCAAAAGGGGGATGGAAAATAGCTTAAATCCTGCGCATCGAATGCGAATATGGAGGAGAGAGACTGAGAGATAGAGCAAAAAAGGAACAAAGCTAAATCAATTTGTTATTTAATTTGGGCAATATGGGACTCCTGAGTCCTTCGTACTGTCTCGTCTCCGTCCCCCAATCAAATAATATAACACACACCCCGAGGTGATTTTATTTTCCTCCCAATTGCTCCAATTTGCTAAATCATATACCCGGTGTCGAGAAATTTAAATGATAAGAGGAGCTCACTGTTTCTTTTACATTTACATTTTTTTAATGCGAAGCCTTCATCAATTCCTAAAAGGTGCATAGATAGACACAAAGCGTATACAATTTTAAAATTCATGTATTTCGCTTCATTGCCGTGCGGGTCTTGTTGGATTCCGTAGCTTTGTCCGTTAAGTCGTAAGGGTTTTTATAGTCTTCAAAGACTCCCTATTATAAAGAGAATTTTTTTATTTTTTTTTGTTTCTTCCTTTGCCGCCTTTGCAGCATTCTGCTCACTGTATCCGAATATTATGTTTTCGTTTCTTTCTTAGTTTTGTATCGAGCATTATTTCCTAATGACTCTATTTAACGAACAACATTTACCCTCAATGCTTGAATATTACTTGAATCATATTCAAATATTCTTTTCTACTTGTATTAAAAACATTGTTAAATAACTGTGTTTGTGTGGAATGGAGGAGTATTGAAATTCTTCAGATATTCAATCGAAAAATCATTTCCATATTATTTTTAATCAGCGGAAGTTAATAATAACATTTTATACTTCCCTAGTAAAATACTAAGATAACTTTATATAAGTGTTTCCAAATTCACTCATTTCTATGTTAAAAATAATTAATTAATTAATAAAATAATATTATTAAAATTAATATTATTGATTTAGTTAAACTTAAAGTCAATATATAAACAGTGAAATACAACAGCACTGAAAATTATATTATTACGAATAGTCTTTTAAATAAAAACAAAGTATATTTATATAAAATCGTATATTTTATTATTAATTTATATTTAACATGTATCACAATAAATGTACAAAAATATTGTCAATTATCCTAACTACTTTTTACAAAGCTTTCATTAATTACCCGAATTTCTTCGCATTAAAACAAACAGTTTTTCACACCTAGACGTTTCACCGAATATTTAGTCTTCAATGCTCCAGCAATTTTTCTAGCAACATTACTTCCTGAACAAATACTTTTGAAATGTTCGGATATTCTCATCGAATCAACTTGAGACATTTGCCTATTCCCTAGATCTGCAGAAACCAGAGTTGGACGATTGGTGGTTGTCAATCTAGGTTTGTTGGGCATCTTGGACATCACCTGAAGTGGCATGGATCTCAACTTATACCCATTCATTTTCAGGGCCTTCTCCACAGACGATGATAGTTCAAATTCAATATACGCAAACCCTTTAGGTTTTCCTGTAATTTTGTTCACGAAAATGATAACACGTTTGATGGTTCCGCACTTGCTGAAAAACGCTTCCAGCATCGACGAAGTAGTACCATGAGCAATATTCCCCACAAACACACTTCTTCTATTGTCTTCATTCTTGTTTTCATTGTTATCATCCTCTTCATAGTCATCCTGAAGTATACTCAACTTTTTGATTTCTTCGTTGGTCTTCTTCATGGATTCTTCAATAGCAATAAGCTCTGCGTCGTCCTCAAATGAAAAGTTAAAATCCATGGCTTTTTCCAATTCTATAATATCTTTACACATTTTGGTTAAGTTAAAATAAGTTAAAAATGCAAAGAAGCTAATAGTAGGTTAATAACAAAAGTGATGTTGTCGTACTGAAGGCGATTGAAGAACTAATGCCTTTGTGATTTTCAACCAAGTATTTATACTACATAACTTGGGTATTAAAAATTACCTGCGCAAAAATATAGTATTAAGAGAAATACGTTTTAAATTTATTGGGCGCCTCATAAAACTAGTAAGTTAGGTAACCAAATGACTTGACCATTATTCTCAGTATTATTAAAATATAATTACAAACTTACTTGACCAACAAATTCTTAGAAATATGAAAATGTACAAGAAAAACAAAGTTCAGATTATTTCTGCAAGTAAAAGTGAACCAAAAAAATGAAACATAAATGTTCAAAATCTGCGAATGCAAGTGAATTCTCAGTATTCTTAAAATATAATTACAAAATAATACATTGGTCGATTGCATTTTTATTTACTTACTTTCTATTTATTTAGTGTAATAAATTTAAATGACCAAATAATTCATAGAAATATGAAAATGTAGAAGAAATATAAACAAAGATCAGATTATTTCTGCAAGTGGAAGTGAACCAAAAAATTGAGAAATAAAAGTTAAAATTCTGCGATTGCAAGTAAATCGAGTTTGTACAGTTTTTAAGATAGTTTAAAATATTTTTTTAATAATCTACTAACATTGAAATATTAAACACAACATTAATAAAAACAATACTATTTTGGTACATATTTCAAATAAAGACCTTGTTTTCTTGAAATATTTATAAAAAAAACTAACATTTGAATCATTATAACATAATCATATATATTCCAAATTAAAATCCTCTTAAAGTTTAATCTTTTTCTAAAAATTAAAAGTTAAGGTGATTTTAATTTTGATCTTCAAGGAATACATCATTATAACATTCTTATTATAATTAGTAGAATGATAATATAAACATTTCATTCACATCATGAACATGAAACATGAACAATATTCTAGACTCTTTTAATTTTCAAGACAAGTAAATCCGGACTGATTGAAGCAGCACTATACGAGATATTACAGTAAGTACACATTACATTGTAGAAGCAATATATTAAAGCTGCGTTCACATAAATTAAGACCTCGTTCAGCGTGTCCTCAATTAACTCAATATAATTCAATTCAATATAAAGTAGCCAACTTGAATCTTATATCTATAAATTTATCTATTTACTATATTTGAAAGTTTAGATTAGCTCTTGTACTGTACTTGTACTGTATTGATTAAAATGAAGTTTGATATAATTAAACTTGCATCTGGAATTGCACATTGTACTGCCACGTGTGCATATAGTAAATGTTACGCATTGTAATAAAATTGAACCTGTAGAATTAAGGCTGAGCGTAGTTTTCATTCATAAAATATTCAAGATGTGACTGCCCAAATGCGTCCATAGGGATGCTACATAATTTCAAAGGTTCCCAGCACGAGGGTCAAAAGAATAGGGACATTGTGAGTAACTAGAATATTAATTAGATTACTTTAGTCGTCTGGCGTTCAACAGCTGAAGACCTCTAAGAATCCTTGCATCTCTATTTATTTATATATTTTTTGTTAGACAAATTAAAAATTAATTTGCAATGAATTCAAAAGAGCGGTGAAAGAAAAAGTTTATCGCATCAAATCCAGAAGTAATGTAAGCAACTCGAAGTCGTACAATCCCACTGGCTATGTAACATAAATAAAGAAGAAGAAAAATGTAACAATTTCCGCCTACCGCGACGTGTATTATTATATACCTGGCATTGAGGGGTTGAATGGAAATGAGGTTTGGAACAATATGCTGTAGGGGAGTAACAAAAGAAAAACACATTTCCTCTTGGCTTTAAAGATAATTTTCGAAAGGAGCAGCGCACATTTCGGAGCAGGCCCTTTTCGATATTCCTTCGCGAGAACAAGATTCGATGGTGCTTTTTTTTCCACACCCAAATCTATAGTTTGCATCGATGGCGGCGCCGTTACAGGATATTGGATATATCCTGAGATCGCTCCACTGACCACCACACATCTCGTTTCCACCGATAGGATATATTCCGAAGCTGCATCGTAGAAGACAATCGATTTGCAAAGCTCGTGCTGTAGAATTTACTATGCGCAATTACACGTTGCTGGATAATTTTGGAGTGGCAATTCTAGGTGTTGCATATTGGAGATGTTCTGGTGGAAACAAGGTGTATGGAGCAAAGAAGAATGCGAATGGCATGGTAATGTGCAAAGCATGTGGAACATGCAGCGACCTGATGTCATTCCCGAAATAAATTACATTTGTTATGGAACCACGTAGCTAAGTGCATCCTATTTGCTGCATCCAGAATCCCGCTTTCGGGACTCGCAGGCAATTAACTAGCTTTTGCCTGTTTATTGAAAATTATCTTAACGACGTCCCATTACAAAACTTCCAGGTACTTTATTCTCTGGTTTTTTAGTTTCAACGCTGTGTTGCGCCATTGCTTTATAGCATTCGACAAAAATTATTGCTCAATAAAGGGGATTTATTGATTCAAATCTAATTAATTTCGTACTTAACTTCAGATCTATACCAAACTTTTGTAAATTTATTTGCATATTAATTTCAACATCCATATCAATCTTGTACAGTAATATTATTTAAAAAACAAAACTTAATGAAGATATTTTTACTTTTGCTTTAAATAATTTAATATATAGCAGGAATTTCTGAACAAAAAACACATTTTACACAAATATAGCTTATATATGGAAATATAATACGTATTTTACGATTCAATCAAGGAATTTACATTAACTTAAAATAAGTATTAAGTTTAATCTATTATCTAAATGATGATTATAAATATAAATTAAAGTCATCTATAAGTTAAATATATATTTTAATAACGATCCTAATTTTGTATTAGCTATTTCACTAGTTTATGCAGATTACTTTGTTTCAAAATTTAAATTGGGACAAAATGATTTAATAAACAGATTGTAAAGAGAGGGTTGTTTTGCCTCAGGGCACTGACCTCAGTAAAATAGGGGTCTTTTGGGTAGCAACTACAAAGCTAATATATACAGAATAGATAAAACAAAAATTATAATTTAATTTCTAAAGACAAAAAGGTTTATTTACAATTTACGAGTCTTTTGTAATTTGTTATACACAATATATAAAATATTTAAAGTAAATGTCAATAAGGGCGGACAGTCTCAGGTCAATAGCCCTTTGTATATATAAAATATATATATATGCAATAAATTATAAAAATATACATTAATTCTTGTAACTCATTAAAGGACGTAAGTTTTAGCACAATTTAAAGTATTATTTTGAAAATAGTTTATTAGTTTCACTTGAAAATGAAACCTTTATGAAAAAAATATTTTATTTATGGCAATAATGGTGTAATAAAGTTTATGCTCTTTTTCAAAATAAATTTTCTAAAAGTTTCATTTTCTAAGAAAAGAAAAAAAAGTATAAAATAATTATATAACATTACAGCACATCGGATATAATAAAATAAGTAAACCTAAATGACGAATCATTCATAAATAATATAAGGATATATTTATAATAATTTTTAAATTTATAAAGAAACCAATATTTATGTCTTTTCATACCTTTTCCAATAAATCAATATAAATTAATAGTTGTACTTAAGTTTATTTGTTATATCAAGATGTGTTTTTATAAGCTTTTAGGTATAGATTATTTAAAAAATGAACTATAAAGTACAATGAATAAAGTTTGTAAGTTTTAAAAGTCATAGGATACTGATACGACGTTTGCCCTAGAAATGTGTTCTTAACTAGCCATAAATCACATTCTCCTATTTGCATTTTGTATTCAGTGTTCGATGTTGTTTTTTTCTTCTTTATTTATTGTTGTTGTTGATTGCTGTACACCCGTTAAATATTGAAAAACAAGTGTAACTTTTATGATCGGACCGCAATGATCATATAAAATCGTTGGTTCCGTTTTTACGGGCGAACGGAATTGGAAATTATGTATTTTAGTGTCCAAAATTTTATGTTTATAACAAGCACCGTAATTACCGGGGACCCCTCATGAATATTACGAGCGGATTTTTGTCGGCCGCTTAAATCTCGCCATAATCGAGTTCACCGCTAATTTATTTTCCCAGGCTAATTTCGTCGGTTATATTTTTATTCGCTGTTCGAGGCGCATTTTTCCTCGTCCTCTCATCGCAAAGTACTTTATGCTGATGCTACCTACGCGAACAAAGGGATTCGTTTATATTACAGAGTCACTTGGAAACAAATTAATATGAACATAAAATACATTATTTAAAACAATTCCAAAGATAATTGCTTCATTGTAGGATGAAGAACAGAAAAAAAAGACAGAAACTAACAGCTTTAGTGTATGTTTAATCGTTGGGTAATTTCGTTTAACGACGTTCTTCATTGTTTTATTAGAAAATTACATGGATTGTTTACTGATACCGAAAAATTATGCATTATCATTGCTTGTAATTTGAAATTTCATTATTATCTTTTTGCATTTGATAACATAATCATTATTTTCAACTTTTAATAAAACTAAAATTTTAGAATATTACTTTAATGAATAGCAAAAGTCAAATAAATTTTAGTCGCTTTTGTCCTCCATTTTAGGGCTAAAATTAAATAAGATTGTAATTTAAAAGATATTTATTTTATTGTAACTAAATGATAAGCATGATGTACATGAAAATATAATAATTCAAATATGTTACCATAAAGACCATAATTTCTTAAAAATATAGAAAACATAGAAACATTTCAGTTGTTTTAGCAATTTTTAGCAAACATTATTTATCAAAAGATCTTTTATACTTGTCAAAGTTATTTGTTTCAATATAATCTGTTCGATTATGACAAGTTTTCGACAAATTACTTGGCAAGTGTTGTGTTGGAATACTTGAATATATTTTATGAATATATTACGTATTATTTCGGTAGCAATCGCAAGATCGACAACTGAAATATCGTCAATCAAATTCCCGACGTTCGAAATCCCGACAACCACAATTCCGACTATATTAAAATCCGGACCACCATAATCACGACTGTATCAATTTCCCGGAACGTAATGACTTTTAAATAATAAATAATAATAATTAATAATCTAATTGTATTTGAGATTATTTTATTATGTTAAATTTTATTATAAATAATTCAACAAAATCAAATAAATTAATAATAATTTATTGTTATTAATAATAAAAGTGTAGCACAAGGTGACGCTCCG